GGTCCTGCAGCTTTCCAGAGGCCGGTCAGCCACAGCCTCTGGTCACCCCCACATCTATCCTTCCTCAAGATGAGTAGCTATCCGGTGTGCTCTGGATGGGGTCTTCTACCTCTGGCTTCAACCAGGACAGCCACCCACTGCCATTGGTCTTATGTATTGGGGCTCGAGGTGAGATTCCTTTGGACTGATGGGATTCCTTTAAACGAAGCTTTGGGAAGCAGTCGGAGGCTATCACTGTGTGCCCAGAGGCCCCTGTCATTAGCCTAAAGAAGGGGGTATTTGCTATTCACGTCCCTTCAGCCCATCAACTGGTATCTATGAGTCAACTTGGACTTTTTAAATTGAGACTTTTGAGCAGTCAAAATCAAAGCGTCCCTTTTTCAATAAACCGAGGAATTCAGGTGGTTGAAACAGTAGAGGTCAACTTAAAACACGTTTTGAAGCCTTATTCTTCCCTGAGTCCTCGGTGTCAGTCTCAGGATAAAGGATATAAACCTAGAAGCTGTCACTTCTGACCACTCCCTGTTTTCCATATTTTCCACATTTTTAAGTCCCCAACTACCTTTTCAGTGAATAAAACCCTTTCTCTGACAATGACATGTACCATAACCAAGAGTTGACTGTGAAGTTGTCTTCCTGGTTGGATATGAGGGGTGCGGAGGGGAAGTGGGAGGAAAAGGAAGAAGGCAAGTGGAGAGGGGAGCCACACCAAGGGCTGAGTGTCCTGCCTCTCTGCAGCTGTTTGAAGGGAACATGCACTACGACACCCCCGACATCCGAAGGTTCGACCCTGTTCCCGCGCAGTACGTGCGAGTGTACCCAGAGAGGTGGTCACCAGCGGGTATCGGGATGCGGCTGGAGGTGCTGGGCTGTGACTGGACAGGTAAGACTCTGCTTTCCTCTCAAGTCTCACTCAACTGGTCTTAGTGACTTCGGCATCCTAGTATGCCCTGGGGAGGGCACCCCTGCCTGGTAAAGTCCTATCACCTGGAAACCCTGCAGATCCCTGCCATGTTCTCTTGCTTCAGACCATGGGAGCTGCAGCCACTGGACTTGGGACAGTCTCCTAAGGGATGTGCTTTGTCTTTTGTAAAGGATCATTTCAGTTCTCCAACCCGAGTCTCTTGAAAACAAATCATAACCACACACCACCCACCCAAATTCAATTAGACCCTGACTCTTCAGGCCAGAGGGCTGTGACTGTTGATTTAGGGAAGAAAAAACCCCTCATGATAATAAAGTAATCGGTTTATGTCTGAATCTGGCCTCCAGATGTCAGTGGCTAAGAGACTTCATTTTCATTTCGAAGCCACATCTGTAAAAGGGATTTATTTGCTCTGAAGAGACCCTGTCGTGGGAGGGGCTGACGAGAACAGGGCATCTTCCCAGTGTGCGGCAAGGAGTCTTGGTCATTCCCACCCTGCCAGATGGCACAGGCCTTGGGGGGCGGGGAGGGACACCTTAAATGCTCCCTAAGGAAGGAGAGGCCTACTGAGGCCTGCTGAGCATGCCCATCCTTCCTCATTTCCATAACCTCCTGAGTCAGGCCCTTCCTTTCCTCTGCACACCAGCCCTCCTCGCTGAGCAACCTGGTACTAGATCTCACCCTGACCTCACATACTACCTGCCAAAGAGGGCTTGAGGGAGCCACCGGGGACTCAGCCCGAATCCCATGCCAACAGGGCAGGCAACAGACTGAGTTGTCTTGTCTCTATCAGGGCCCCAGGTGCCCAGTTTTTCAGTCTGTGCCTTACCTCTTACCAGCTCACCAGCAGGATAGCGTGAAGGATTAATGAGGGCATGTTGGAAAAGTGTTTTTGGTCCCAGAAAGAAAAGTGCTACCTGTGTTCTGGCTCTGAGGGAGCAGGGGAGCCTCTTGGATTCACACAGGCCAACAGCCTCTCTCACCTTTGAATGGAAGGCAGCCCAGTGAGTGTATCCTAGTAGGACGATACCTTGCCCCTCACTTTGTAGGGATGACACCAAGCTTCCTTGCAGCCTGTGGGATTGGCATCACCTGAAGGTTCGTCAGCCACAGCCTTTGGTCACCCCCCGCCTCTACCCTTCCTGTAGATGAGTGCCTCCAAGATGTGCTCTGGTTGGTTCCTCCACCTCGGCACCTGTCCTCTAGCAGACGTTCCAGCCCTCCTCCCCTATACAAGCTGGCCTCACCTGTGACTGGGAATCAGACTCCACTGCAGGGGGTCCATGAGCTTCTAGGCCAGTGGCTTTCTAACATTCTGAACATGAGCCACAATTTAAAATAAATTCATATCACAGCCCACCTGATTTACAAGTACATACATAAGCACTCACACCTGTGCGTGCATGGGGGTACCGTGTATCGTTAAGTGCTTAGACTCAGAGACCTATTGCCACATTCAAGTCCTGCCCCTGCCCATGGCCGGCTGCATAACTATAGACAAGTTACATGTCTCTCAGCTCCTTAGTTATCTTAGCTGACAAATGTGGATAAAAATAAGTCTTCACCCTCTAAGATTGTTATGAGGATTAAATAAAATAATGGAGGTGAAGGACTTAGACTGCTGTCTAGCACCTAGCAAGCCTGTTATAATATGAAGAGTCTTCAAAAAGTTAACGGAGAGTGTGCATCCTAAAAAGTTATGGGTAAATTTCACAATTTCTGCAATAAAGTGAAGTTGTACTTTAATCTCATTTCTGCAAGAACTTTTTGAAGTTCATGAGTAAATGCAACTGAAACAAAAGGTCCCCAAAGGAATGTTCATCTTTACCCTGTGAAGGCACTCTGAAACTTTATAGCCCATATTTTTAAAATGTTAGTCATGACCCATTAAATTGATCCCACAACCTACTGATGGGTGTGACATACGGTTTGAAAAAAGAGAGAGAGAGAGAGAACGAAAAAGAAAATCACAGATAGAAGCCAACTTCTCTCTCTTTCCTTTCTTCTTTCTTTTTTTAATTTGCCAGAGGGCACATGCACTCACCAGAGAGAAACGGAGAGTGAGGATCATGAGAAAGCACCTCCATGGGAATGGCCTCACTGCAGTCCCTTGTACTCCATCTCTCTCCTTTCAAGACTTTGAGAACACACACGTGCTCACACATGCGTACCCACCCAGTGCAGTTCACAAACCATGCAGTCAGCCGTGTGGGATCCGACCACCTTAACCAGCATACCACCAGCTAGTTACCAACTTCTCTTTTTAAAAACAGAAAACTGACATCCGGAGAGAGGAAGCCACTTGCTAGAGGTCACTCAGCTAGTTGGGGACCAGTTCAGACTTCCCTGCTCTCCATTGCCCTCCTGTGCCATGCCTTTCCCAGTCTGGCCTAACTTTATGACTGGATGGACAGTTGCTAATGACCTCTTCCCATTATGGCTCCCTCAGCCTGCCCCAGATTACGCTGGTGATGGTCAGCCACGGGTTTCTTATTTCAAAGCCCTGCCTGGCTGTTCCTGGGAAGATCAGCGTTGAGGCACACACCCTCTGCCCAGTCTCCTTCCCTTTGAAGTCTCGACATCTGGTTTCAATTTCAGGGCAGCGTTGCTATTTGATGGGCAGTTACCGTGGCGCGCCCAGTACAAACACAGTGGGCACAGAGGCCGTCTGCTGTTTTTTCACTTTCATTTACACGCCCTGCCCTCTCGATGCCTTGCTGGCCCCCGTGCCCCTGGATTTAACATTATCTCCACCAATCAGTTGACCCACTTGGCTAGCTAACACTTCCGGAAATTGTTCTTCTTAGGTCATGTGACATTGTTGACTTTTCAAATGTCCATCTGTTTCTGCGACCCATGGTTGGTTCACTTCTTCATTGCTACCCTGAAAGGATAGCAGGGAAAATAATGGGCTGGGTTCAGTTGCTGCAGCTAAATAATTTGACAAGGCTGCTTCACCTGTTCGTTAGTTTGTTTGTGTTTCAAATGATTACTTCTTGCCTTGCCGCCCAGAGTTTGCTTTACAATTGAGTTTGAGATTCTATGACACAGTGACAAATTTGAACTTACAAATTAGGACGCTTCGAGGTTATTTGCTGTTTACTGTGAGCAAGAGGCAGACACAGCAAAGGGAAGTATGAAAGGTTATGTGCGTAGTATTTAATAGCAGAAAGGTGGGAAGTCGACCGTGAAAAAGCTATTCAGCGTATTTAGCAATTTCCTCCAGCTCCTGGCTTTATTAAATGGTATCCTGAAGGGTGCCTGACAAAGGCGCCTAATCACATACAATAGTGCAAAGGCACATGTATAGAAATGGGAGGAACAATGCACTGGCATCTTTGGGAGCCTTGCTGGAGGGCAGCTCTCAGGTGAAGACTCCATCCCAAAACACATGAACTCAGGCACCAGTTTCCAGAACCTCCTTTGCCCCACCCAGGGCCTGACTCACAGCTTCATTCATTCCCTAAATGGTTGCTGAATGAATGGTGGCATAAGCAAATAAACAAGTGAATGAATGGGTGCATGAATCACCTAGAGCCCAGGTTAGAACCAACTGCCTGCAGCCAGGTTTGGTCTAGCCAGGTTTTATTGCCTGCTACTTATTATAACGTTTTGAATAAGTTGCCAACATTGTCAAGGCTGGAGATATTACATGGGAATTTTTAGCTTCTTGTTGGAGGGTGAGAAATAATTTGGAAGACTTGGCCACAGTAGGCCAGCTTCTTTCCTGGCCTCAAGCAGCTGGAGGCCCCTTTAAACCAGTGCCTTCCCCCCCATCACACCTTATTCTTTCCAACCTTCAAACTAATTCTTTTCCTTAGGTTGCTGTTTGGATCCAGGAAGCTCTTAAATTTGCCACACCCTGACCTAAGGGCACAGTCCCAAATGACTTCCCCCAAATCGTCTTGGGTCCCTTTAGGCCCATATTCCTGTCCATCCAGTTTAAGACAAACACAATATCTGGTGTCCTTCCCAAGCTCTCAGGCTTTGCTATGCTTTTATTTATTATAGGTGGGCCCCAGAGGTAAGAATGTTTTGCAGGGTTGGCTTTGGTTCATACAAGTTATGTCTGACTCAGAGAAGGCTGAAAAGAGAGTCTGTTCCACGTGAAAGGAGCAGTGAGCAGGGACGTCTCCTCAGCTGCTGTTCAAGGGGCAGTGTACACATACACGTTCTCCATGTGGAGAAGGCTCATTTCATTAAGCATGGAGTTTCTTCAGACTGTTGTGGGATGACTTCTGTGATGATATCCAGGTTCTTGGTGTTTCGGACAAAGAACTGAATAAAACACGCCAATGGTGAAAGGAAAAGGTAATTTATTAAGTAGAAGAGAAAGTAGAGTCCTGTGAAGTAGGAACAGGTCTGAGTGGATAGAGAAAGAGTGGCTCAAAAGGCCGTAGCAGTTGCATTTTGGGAGATTTATCATTTTTTAAAAGAATTATTTTATTCATTGCCATTATTTTATTATATTGAAGTTAATCAGAGAGAGATAGAGAGAAGGAAAGTGAGAAAGGAAGCTGCCAGTTCCGGACCTCGAACCACAGTCAGCCATGTGGGAGTCGAGAAAGTAGAGTCCTGTGAAGTAGGAACAGGTCTGAGTGGATAGAGAAAGAGTGGCTCAAAAGGCCGTAGCAGTTGCATTTTGGGAGATTTATCATTTTTTAAAAGAATTATTTTATTCATTGCCATTATTTTATTATATTGAAGTTAATCAGAGAGAGATAGAGAGAAGGAAAGTGAGAAAGGAAGCTGCCAGTTCCGGACCTCGAACCACAGTCAGCCATGTGGGAGTCCAGTCACCTCAACCACTAGGCCACCTGCCGGCCCCATAAGATTTATCATTTTTTTAACCTAGGTCATGTTTGTTGATCATTGGCTGGGCCCATTCATTGTTCTTATCTCATTGGTTCTATCAAATATGGTTGGGCCCGCTGATTTTTCATTGGCTATGTCAAGTGTAGCTGAGCCGACTGATTCATCTCACTGGCTCTGTCAAATGAGGCTTAATCAACTAGACATCCCCACTACTCTCCTGCTTACATTACCCTGGGCAGGGAATTTTCTGACCTTAGTAGTTTTTCTATCTAGCCACATGGATAGATGCTCCAGCCCCCTTACCCACATCCATTTGCTAGCTTTCTCCTGCCTCAAAAACCATGTTTGGTGGACATTATTCATATCGTGTGTGTACATTTACCCACACTCTGTCTTAAATTGAAAACCCAGAGTGTAATTTAGCCCTTCCTCGGTGTGAATGTCACTCATCTCTGTCATTGTTTCATGTGACCTTTTGTGCTGGCCTCAGGGTCTCTGCTGTGGAGTCTAGAGTGTGAGTTTGCTTCTGCCATGGCTCTTTCTGTTGCTTGTGACAATCCTCATTTCAACTCAGGTGATGCTCTGTACCTCACTGACAGCACACAGTGATGACATACAGGGGTTTGAACACATATGTGCCTCTTTGTTTTCTCTCTCTCTCTCTCTCTCTCTCTCAAAACAGAGAGAGTTTTGCCATAGGGCACATGTACCTGCTGGAGAGACAGAGACACAGAGAGAGAATATGAGAAATCATCCTCAGTGGAGGTGGTGGGGAAGATGATTACACCTCCTCTATTCTCATTTTGGGCACACACACAAGTGAGTGAATTTCAAGCCTCTGGTCTGGGGCTCAAACTGTGGTCGATCATGTGGGAGTCCAGCCCCTTAACCACTACACCATCTGCTGGCCCCCACTTTTCTTCACTAAAAGTCCACACTTAGAGGAAACATACGTGTTGACATCTGCTGCTGGTGGTTGTGATGCAGGCTGCTGAAGTGTTCTCTTCTCTTCCTTTGCCTTTACATAGACTCCAAGCCCACAGTGGAAACACTGGGACCCACTGTGAAGAGCGAAGAGACCACTACTCCATATCCTATCGATGAGGAAGCCACAGAATGTGGGGAAAACTGCAGCTTCGAGGACGGTAAGGAGAAGGGTGGATGTCATATCACATCCAGATCAGTTGGAGCGGATACTGGCCTCTGGCTGGACAGGAATCTGGGGGTCTCCTGCATCAGAGGCCCAGGGGGCCTCAGGGAAGGGGTTGAGGAGATGTGGTTACTCAGGGACTTGGGGTAGCAGCTATTTACAAACAACCTAGGAACACTTAGATGTTGTAACAACCAGTATACCCCCAGAGGAGTGAACCCAGTGATTGTCAGTTAATATGAGGGTGCTTCTCAGAGGACTTCTGCTTTGCAAAGTCTCATTGTTAAGCTCTCACTTCCTTTTCCTGTTAAAGGAAAGCTGGTCTCATCCTAGAATTCAGCTTGGATAGTCCTGTTAAGCTGCATCTCTGTGGTGGTCATCTGGGTGATCCGGTCTGTGGAGCTTAGTCAGGTTAATTCAGCAGTTAACCATGACTTAATTGCAATTTCCTGTTCTGATGTGACCAAGTGTAACGTTGGTGATTCTGTATGACAGTGTATCACATCCTCCTTGACTGAGTGCAGATCACAGACAAAAGGCAGGAATGAAAAATCAGCCTCCACTGTACCTTCAAAACTCAGGGGCCCCTTAACCACTACACCATCTGCTGGCCCCCACTTTTCTTCACTAAAAGTCCACACTTAGAGGAAACATACGTGTTGACATCTGCTGCTGGTGGTTGTGATGCAGGCTGCTGAAGTGTTCTCTTCTCTTCCTTTGCCTTTACATAGACTCCAAGCCCACAGTGGAAACACTGGGACCCACTGTGAAGAGCGAAGAGACCACTACTCCATATCCTATCGATGAGGAAGCCACAGAATGTGGGGAAAACTGCAGCTTCGAGGACGGTAAGGAGAAGGGTGGATGTCATATCACATCCAGATCAGTTGGAGCGGATACTGGCCTCTGGCTGGACAGGAATCTGGGGGTCTCCTGCATCAGAGGCCCAGGGGGCCTCAGGGAAGGGGTTGAGGAGATGTGGTTACTCAGGGACTTGGGGTAGCAGCTATTTACAAACAACCTAGGAACACTTAGATGTTGTAACAACCAGTATACCCCCAGAGGAGTGAACCCAGTGATTGTCAGTTAATATGAGGGTGCTTCTCAGAGGACTTCTGCTTTGCAAAGTCTCATTGTTAAGCTCTCACTTCCTTTTCCTGTTAAAGGAAAGCTGGTCTCATCCTAGAATTCAGCTTGGATAGTCCTGTTAAGCTGCATCTCTGTGGTGGTCATCTGGGTGATCCGGTCTGTGGAGCTTAGTCAGGTTAATTCAGCAGTTAACCATGACTTAATTGCAATTTCCTGTTCTGATGTGACCAAGTGTAACGTTGGTGATTCTGTATGACAGTGTATCACATCCTCCTTGACTGAGTGCAGATCACAGACAAAAGGCAGGAATGAAAAATCAGCCTCCACTGTACCTTCAAAACTCAGGGGTTCCAGATGGGAAGTCTGTATTCTTTCGTTTTATCTTTGAAGCATATCCAAGTTAGATAAAAACAATAATTGGCAGAACCCAAAAATAAGTCACATTTTAAATCATACGGCTAAGGTCACCAAGTATGAGGACATTACTAATAAACCACAAATTTTGGAACACCTGGCATTTTTGGCTAGAATTAGAAGCTTGACAGCTTCACGTTACAGTAAATTACTGATCATTAGTAAATGTTCGTTAGACAAAATGAGGGAAGATTGGCAAAAAACACTTGGAAAGTGATGGAGACATAAAGATGTAGGGAGACGAAGAAGTCTGTGGACCCGCACGCACGGCCATTAGACAGTAGGAGGAACTTCATGATGGAGTGAATGGCTCCAAAAATGGCTACAAAAAAGAATGGGAGGAAAGCCAAAAATAAATGCTGAAGTCGTGTGACTGAAAAATGATAATTTAATGCATATGCGTTTGGGAATGTGCTTTTGTATATTGTGTGGGTGGGGGACACTATTGGTCAGAGTGAGTTGAATACGGAATCTGACATTTTAATGAACTTGTTTTTGTTTTATGAAGAGAAGGAGACTTGGAGAATCTTCCAAGACATGTTTAAGATAGTTCAAGAGCCAAAAGAGGGATGCACAGGGAGTTGATATATGGTATTGGATTTGCGGAGTTAGTTTGTAGGGGGACTGTGAGGGTGGAGGTTCTATCTAAATGGCAATCCAAAGGAAGATATAAGGTTTCTGCTGCACATTTTCAGAAGTTTATTTTTAATATAATTTTCCCATTTATAGAGGTTTGTTGCACTTGAGGTTTCTTTGATAGTTCCTCCCTTCTCTTTTTTTTCATTTTGCAAAGGGTCTTTTTTGTGGAATTTGGTTCCTGAGATACAATATGCATGTAAACATTAGAGAGGAATTATGGTATATTGAATTACTCAATGTTTTTGAACAGAAAAATAGAAATTGTTGGGAGAAGGGAATGGTGAGGGCTAAGGGCTGACTTTTCCAAGCCACAGGTTGATGCTTCTGTAATAGGTTCCATGTGTTTCTTCTTGACTCAAGCTGACTTTGGCTAAGGGTGGGCAAACATTAAATATCCTCTCTTGGGAAAAGGAGGCATGAACAGGGCCTAGTGGTAAGCTGCCTCCTGCCTCTCAGGACAGCAGTGCCCTGTTCCCCTGGAAGCGAGTCCTCCTCACCCCCATGGTGAACAATTTGTTTTTACCAATCTGTTGTTCCCTTTAGACTTCCTAACCTGCATACTAAGGCTTCCCCGCGGAAATTCCTCTCTGGGAACCTTGGAAAAGGAAGTGAGAAGGCCAGAGACCCCACTTCCTCCCTGCTACCAGCATTAGCCAGCACTTTTCCGCTGTCTCTGCAGCCACTGCTGGCCAAAGTCCAAATTTGGGTTCCCATTTCCTCTCTTTCCCCACCGCCACCCCACCCTCACTTAATCACCTGCTTGGCATTGGCTCACACTAGGGTTTTGGAGCTAGGTGGAACCTCAGATGAAACCGTCTTAGTTTGGTCTTCTGCCTTAGGCAGGTGAACCACCAAAAGAGATAGGACAACCCCTTATGTAGTCATTTCTCAGTGCTCCATGGGGAAAGCATTCCCTCTACCTCTCTGGGATTCCACCCTTCAGGGATTCAACCTGATGTGAAATGATTTTTCCTCCTGGTCAGCACTGAGCTGGATGTCTGGCTGGTCTGGCCCCTTCGTTTTACTCTGAACATGCCAAATTTCTCACTTGGCAATATCTCCCCATGGAGATGCCAAACTGTCCCGGTCTCCTGAAATAGAAGACTATCACAAAGAGGTGGAGGGTAGAAAACAAGCCTTTCTTGTTTCTGAGGTCACTTTCTCCTCGCTGGCCAGAACCTCCCAGGCATTTCAGCTTCTCTGGATGCTAATGGGCTGCCCCATCACTTGTGAGAGCCAGGTTGGCAGGAGATGAGATAATACTTTTTTAGGAGCCAGCCTTCTACCGAGGCACTGGGGAGACATTCTTCTCTGGCATTTAGGGAACAGCAATTTTCACATTTGTCTGCTCTCTGAGGTAGACAGAGGAGGCTGATTAGAGCCTGAAGCCATTTGGTGGCCTCATTTATAATTGCTTACTATGGGAACCACTGGCAGACTTGGCTTTCATGCCTGGGAAGGATGAGACCAAAGGCTGACCCGACAGCCAGCGATCGCCAAGATGAGTTGAATGGATAAGCACAGGGAGCCACTTCTCTCTCTGCCCTCCACTTAGGACTTGCCAGCCATTTAAACAGCACTGTGGCTGTTCTCTGAGTCCATTTCATTTGCCTTCCTTTGGGTTATTTTTCCCCCTTTTAGACAAAGATTTGCAGCTCCCTTCAGGATTCAACTGCAACTTTGACTTCCCTGAAGAGCCCTGCGGTTGGATGTATGACCATGCCAAGTGGCTCAGGAGCACCTGGACCAGCAGCTCCAGCCCGAATGACCAGACCTTTCCAGGTAAGCCAGCTGTGAGTTCAGGGGTAAACAAGTCCAGAGGTGACCAAGGTCAGAGGTGAAAGAGTTAAGGCTAGCCTACTCTCCATATTTCTTAGCCCCAGAGTCCCTTGTAAGCTTCATAGCTTCCCACCACAGAGCAATCCTCTGTTCTTTGCCCACAAACCACCACAATCTTTGCTCAAGACGTCACCTCACAAAATAGCCAGTTGGTGGTTACCAGCCCTCTCCTGTGATTAAACATAGCCAGAAAGCTGGAAGAGAGAGAGGAAGCCTAATAAAAAAGAAACAAGAAGAAGAAAGAAGGAGAAACAAGAAATTAGGAGGTCCGAGAAGATGGGACAAGTCAATGTCCTTTTGTTCCTATAGCCAGCACTGGCTGCCACCTTCACAGAGCCTCTTTTCCACTTCTAGTGGGTATTGTTCCTAAAATGACTCATTGGGAAACCGCTGGCCTCAGGTATAATACTTCTCTGAGGGAATCATCATTTCTGTGGCCAACCAAATTGAGGGACTAAAATGCTGTCACACCCATGGGTGCCTAGTAAAACTGCCGGGCATTTGGCCTTGAGAAATGTGTTACAGCCAGTTTTTGAACTATTGTTAAGCCTGCCCTTTTATTCTCTGAGAGTCACATCTCAGAAGCCTCTCCTGGCTTCTACTGTTAGCAGAAAGGGGCTGCCTTTAGCCCTTCTAAACAGGTAAAAGCAAGAGTTGTATACTATCTCCACTGTCACATGTTTTAACAGTGCTGTTCCGTAAATACTTAACAACAGGTTATTCAGGAATTGAAAAAAACAAAAACAAAAAACTTTGTTTTGGAGCCCAGCCAATGGCGTAAATGGTTACATTGCTAGACTCCCACATGGTCTACCACAGTTCGAGTCCTGGACCCAGTGGCTTGAAACAGGCAGGGCGTGTTTGCATGTATGCCCAAAACCCTAAGAGGAGAATGGAGGAGAAGGAATTGTGGTATGGCCATCCACTCAGGGGCGATTTCTCACTTTCTGTCTCTCTGTCTCTCTTTGTGTCTCCAGGGAGTGCACATGCCCTATAGCAAAAATAAATAAATAAATAAATAAATAAATAAATAACCTCTCTAAAAAAGGGGACTTTGTTTTGTAATGTTTGTCACTTTCTGTGGTGTAAATACTCTTCTCATGCTCCACTTTAAGCTATCAACACATTATTGGAGGTGGAATTGACAGTATAGAAATAGGGCATTGCATGGTTTCTTTCATTCTTACAGATTTGGCCCAGCCTCTGTGGTATAGTAGATAACATACCAGACTACAGAGCTGGAAGCCACATGCCAACTACAGTTCAGATCCCCAGCCCAGCCTGAAAATCATGACATATTCCCATAGTCCTGGCAGGCTGGAGAACTGGAGGAAGGCAATCATGGTATGACCAAGCCCCAAGAAAGAGGGTATTTCTCTCTCTTTCTCTCTCTCTGTCTGTCTCTCTGTTTTTCTCCCTTATGTGCACACATGTGCTCTATCATGAATGAAAAAAATCTTATATGACCTCAGGAGCATGAATATTGGTAAATTAAATAATTAGAAAATTTGAGTTTTGAGTATTTTTACCTTTAATTATAATATAATTTATAGAATTGTAACTTTTTCATTATGTTTACATTTAACAACTGGCTTGCAAAATCTCAGAACCTTTAGTAAGTGACTCACCCAAGCTCCAGTGCATCACCCATTAGATTTCAGTTTTCCTACACCTCTGGCCTGGACCTTAGACCCTCTATAAGCATTTGACAGGAAAAGGGTTAACTCTGGAAATTTAGTAGATCTTAGAAGATCAAATATTGCCTGAATGCAACAATGGAAAAAGGCTAGAAAATAAAACGGGGGAGGGAGGCAGCAGATGGTGAAGAGGTTAAGGTGACTAGATGCCACATGGCCAAGTGCACAGTTTAGACCAGACCCAGCAGTTCAAAAAGCACGCCAGGCGCATGTGCATAAGTGCCCAAAATCTGGAGAGGAGAATGGAGGAAAATGGATTGCAGTGTAGCCATCCCCTCTGGAGAGTGCTGTCTCATTTTCTCTTTCTCTGTCGCTGGTAAATGTAAGAATTCTATAGCAAATAAATAAATAAGGCAGAGGAGAATGCAGTCTCCCCTTCTGCAGGCTCCCTCAGAGCTGCTCTGTAGCCCCTTACCCTAAGGAGAGACTGAGTCTCCTGTGCCCAGAGGATGGCAGCAGGACAGAAGGTAGGGGAGCTCTTCGGCTGGCCTTCTGACACCGTTTGCACTTGCCTTCCCAGAGGGTCACAGTGTCTGCTCTGAAGAAAAACATTTTCCTGTTTCAAGTGTTTATCTCTTCAGCATTTGAGTGCTCAGAGAGATTAATATCTGAAGATCACCACAGCCTCAGGCAACAGGAAAGAACACTTACCCTGGCCCCAGCCTCAATCACCCTCCCCCTCTCATTCACTGCAATAATGTTTAATTAATATAATGAGCCTCCTGCACGTCAGAAAAAAATACTTATTTTTATAACCCAGCCTGGATTTTTCATTTCATTTCCTCTCCTTTGAGACTGGGTCCAATTAATTGGTGGATTTCCCAACCCCCACCTCTTATCCAAATGGAAAGAAGGTTTGTGGGGTGTGTGTATACACAGTGTTTGCAATGGGGGAGGTGCCTGTATATTTGCGTGAGAGTTTGTGCTTTATATGCATGGGTGTGGGTGTGTGTGTCTGTGAGGAGCTTGTATAAGGGAGTAGTTTTGGCAGAGGCACTTAGAATAAAGGAATATAGACAGGGATGCTTTACAGGGTGGGGATATTTACTGGCTCTTTTCTGTGCCTGTCTTTGAATTCTTTCTAACTATTCTAGTCTCCTCCCTTGTATTCTTCTAAGCAGAATGTCTCTGAGTGTGTCTGAGGCCAGCTCTGCCCAGGTTAGGCCACTAATCAGCGAGTGACAGTTGTGGGAGGGCTTGAGTTCCTCCTTTTGACCTCAGCCTGTCCCCCTTCCCTTTCTCCCTTCACCTCTGCCTCTTCCTCCTCCTCATCCAGTCCTGGTCATCCCTGAATGCCCTGTCGGTTGATCCTTGCTACTGTTGGGGAATTTTAGTCTGTGTCTTCATTCTAGTTGATTCATTACACCCTGTGGTTTGTCAGAGCAAGCTCCCTAAGCAGGCAGAATTCCAGCCTTTGGCTGAATGAATGAGGACAGAGAAAATGAGGGCCATAGGAACTGCTAGATCTAATGTTGTTCCTCCCTGAAGATATTGAGAAAGAAAATAATTATTTTCCTCTTCCAAAGGAATTCCTGAAGTTTGGAAAAGTGGTGCTTGTAACCTGCCTCTGGGAAACAAAATCATGACGTTATTCCCCAAGCCCTTCCCTCTCTCCTCTGATGATTTTAAAAATTGTTTTCTGTTTCCTGTTTTCCTTCTCTTTTGCAAAAATCAGGCTTAAAGCAGAAGAGGATAGAAAGCCCTTTCTGTTCAGGGTGGTCCTTTCTTTTTCTTCTTCTTCAAAAAAATGGGGCCCTGAGGGGAGCAATTGGGAGAAAGGAAGCAGATGTGCTTGGGTAGGGGCAGGGCAAATGCTAATGGGTTCAGGGAGCCCAGGCGCCTTCAGAGTCAGACCTAAAAGCTGCTGTGTCACCCACCCTCTGCCAGTCCACAGAGAGGAGACACTCGCTCTGTAAGAGACGTGTGCCATATGCTCTATCCCCTTATTACATAGGTAAACAAAAGTAATTTAGTTTAAGAAAGGAGGTGTCCCCATCAGGGTAGAGGGAGTAGGATGAAGAAGGGTAGAAAGAAAAGAGGCGGCCATGTTGAAGTATCACATGCAGGCAGTTTGATTGGAAGTGTCTGTGGAAACTACTTACATTCCTTAGATATTTTCTGATTTAGTTGTTTTCTCATGTTTTTGGTCTTTCCTTTTTTCCCCTTTTCCTTTTCCTTTTAAGTAAGCAATTAGTTTTGCTCTTTTGGCTAGTGGTAATGGTTGCTTAAGGCTGACGAGACACCCACTGGTTTCATTCCACTGTTTTTGTTTTTCAAGATAGTCCTTCAAGCCACTCAGAATTTCTTTTTTTAGAAATTTTTGCTTTGTGGCTTAGCTGCCTGGAGTGTGTTCATACCAGCCCCTGGAGACAGCGTTCCAAATTCAGTGACCCCTGGTGGTTGCAAAGGAGCCTACCCGATGGTCTCTGAGAACCACTCTGCCCTTTCTCTGCAGCTGCAGTGACATAGAAAGCATCTCACTTGGTAGGAGTCACAGAAAGTATCTCCCTTGGTAGGAGCTGGCATGTTTTCTACAGGCATTCTCAGGTGTTCAGATCATAAATGGAGTTTTGAGGACAATCAGCTTCAGTGCTTTAAAGAACAGGGCAAAACCTCCTTGGAATGATAGGATTGGGGCAAGGCATTTAGAGGTGCAGCGGTAAATATGTTAGCACTAACCACATGTGACTATTTGAATTTGAATTAATTAAAATCGTTATGACTGGGGCCAACAGATGGCCTGGTGGTTAAGGTGCTGGACTGCCACATGGTTCAAGTCTCAGATCTGGCGGCTTGCTTTCTTACTTTCTCTCTCTCTCTTTCTCGGGTGAACGTGCATGCCCTATAGCGAATTAAAATAATAGTAATACATTTTAAAAATAATTCTTTTTAAAAATTATTATGGCTAAAAGTTCAGTTCTGCTTTCCCACTAACCACATTCCAAGGGCACAATAGCCAACTGTTGGTCAGTGCATATATGAAACAGGTCCCTGGTCACAGAAGGCTGACTTGGACAACACTGCTAGAGTGCTTTGGGGCCTGAACAGGCAAACCACCTCCAGGCCCCTTGCTGAAGCTCTCTTTCCTTGGTTTGATATAAACCAATAAGCAAGTAATTACAGGGATGCATCTTCTCAATGATCCCTTGACGGGAGTGTTCAGGGCTGGTATTTTTATCACTATGATGTTCTGTTTCTCTGAGCAACCTTAGTTAAAGCAAGCAAGTAACATAGCATTAGATGATG